CGGTGGTGTATGTGAAACAGACGGCCGGTCTTGGCTCACGGCTCGGCCCGGCTCGGAGACTCAGGATAGGGATCTAAATCTGTCCATTACTGTCCTTCCTGCAGCCTGAAAAGTGAACCTGTAAAACTGCACTGCTCTTTAAACATTTACGTGTCACACCAGCTCGCCGAAACCCAAGCACTGTGACAACATCGCTTTAAGCGCCTGTCGCCGGCGTTCAGCTTACACCGTGTGCTAATGAAGAAAGGGGAGAAGAGGACGACGCCAACGACTCGTGTTTCTACGAATGAAAAAAAAAACCAAAAGCAGCATTAATTTTCTCCTCACTGTTTGTACGCCGGGGCGACCCAGTACGGGTTCTCGGAGGCCTCCTTGGCGTGACGTAAGATGGCTTCTCGGGGGTTACTGTCGTCCGTTATGTCCAAGGCGATGTTCTTCACGATGAACGAGGACAAGGTGCCGCCGTGAGCCGCCACTCTGCCGCCGCGACCTGTCAGGAAACACAGTCAGTGATTGGTTCAGTCTTAACCAAGGTGAAAACTGAACGTCTTTAGAACGTAACACCTGCAGCTCGACCGTCAGGTCGTTGGTCAAACCTCCATCACCGTTGATCACATTTTAACTCATCCATCCATCCATTTTCATCCGCTTATCCGTTACCGGGTCGCGGGGGCAGCAGTCGCCACCCAAATCACACTGCACCGTACCAACCCCCCCAAACCTTCCTGTGGGTGGTGAGTCCACTGGAAGGTACCAACCGCCCTAACTGGGATTTGAACTTGCCCAGGAGGTGAACCCTGGGGTTCCACACCAATGACAGAGACATTGCCTCTGAGCCAAAGCGCCACATTTTAACTCAAATTGTGTTTGTAAAATATATCGTCTGTATGGCGCCCCCTGTGGCAGCCTGTGCAGGTTGCATAGACTCGTACTGAATTTCTCCATTATGGGACCAATAAGAGACTCAATGGTTTGGTTTTTTTTTAAAGCTTTGTTCTTCTGTGATTCTGTTTTTTCGGAAGACGAGACGACGTTTTCACAGCAACAAATTTTTGACTTTTTTGTTCCTTGATCGCTTAAAACAGTACCACAACTGTCTCTAACTGTGGTTCTCAAACTATGGTGCACTCCCTCTTTTGGTACATGGAGAAACTAAACTTGAGAAGGAGAATCTTGACATGGGAACCGACAGGACCAAGTACCAGTGTGTGTGTGTTTGGAGGTGGTTTTGAAATATTTTGAGTTCCATTTGTAGTTGCTGTTTCACTGGCTGATAAAAAGTTAAAAGAAAAACTTCCACCTCTGACAAACCTCCAATGAAGGGGTTTTTTTTTTGGTTAATGCAAAAAAAAAAAAAAAAAAAAGTGTTATTTTTTTTAATCTGTCTCCAGAAATTACTTCCAGTACTTCATCAAAATAATAAATAATAAATGGCTCTGATGTAATTGTTGGCTTATTTTTGGGTACATGATGACACCAGGTGTGACATTAATCTCTGGACAAATCATTCTAACACTCATTAATTAATATTAATGTGATTCAGGCAGACGCTGGGAGTTTCTGTCTTTTTTTTTTTTTTTTGCTCTCAGAGAAAAGTTTCCTGAGTTTTTACCACATCTGTGCTGTTGGCAGGAGACTGTGGGACTTAATGGAGACTCAGGGGGAGGGAGGGAGTTGTCAGAGCAGACGTTGTTATAGTGAGGTCAACAATGGGCCGAGGACATATATATAAATGTATATACAGTATATATATATATATACACATACATTTATATACACATACATATATACATATATACATATATATACATACATACATACATACATACATATATATATATACATACATATATATACATACATACATATATATACATACATACATATATATACATACATACATACATACATACATATATATATATACATACATATATATACATACATACATATATATATATATATGTGTGTGTGTAAACACAAACAAAACCCTAACCATCTGTACTCCAGACTGACAGTATCTGCTGCTACAGTTGTTTTGAGGATGGAGAGGCAGCTCCGTTCACAGAGTCGCTCTCCTCTCACTGGTTTAAGTGAATCTGCGCTGAGGATAAACAACGTAACTACAGCCTGTCACCCGGAGATCAATGACCTGCCATGACAGGAGATGACAAACTGAGTTTCTCTGACTGAGAAGAACCTGCACTTTACAGCTCGGTGGAACCATGAGGTCGTTTGAAGAAGTGAAGGAACCACGTGGAGCAAAAAGCAGTGAAATCACAACGGAGAACAGAAAGAAGCAGGAGGAGCAGAAGACACACACAGGTGTGTTACCTGTGGGTGTGTGAGTGTGTGAGTGTCTTCAGGTTGAAATATTAAAGCATTGAAGAAAAGTTCCCAAAAAGTAAAAAACTACAAGGCAACAGCAGCTACAGTGTCTCAGGGTGTGTGAGATTCACCTGACATTTTTTTTTTAAATAACAAATATATTTCCATTGGGAAAAAATATGCATTTCTCTGTTATTAATATAAAAGCAGTTTGTTTGATAAATCAGAAACTGAGAGATTTTTCTTTAAGCACAAATGAAAAAAAGAAAAGTTGGCGTGAGATACGGAGGCTCAGGCAAAAAGAGTATTTTCCTAGGACAATTGAGGCATCGCTGCCATTTTTTCCCCATCTTCAGTGTGTTTGTTCAGCTCAATGATTCCCAACCAGTGTGCAGTGGCACATCAGGTGTGAGGTGGAAAATTATCAAATTTCAATTCATTTATCAATTTTTGAATTGAATTTTTATTTTTTTTTGTTCGTCAATGCGTAACAGGCAGAACGATAAAATACAGCTAGGTGGCGGCAGACGGCTGATAAAACTAAAAAACGTAATCAGAACTGTTTAAGATCTTTCATGAGTTTCTTTCTTCAATTCCTGCCAGTATATCAGCGTTGTCTTCAACTAAACAGGAGTACATTTTTTAGTAAATATAAACTAGGATATTATTATATTTCATTACGTATACTTTTTGTGATATTTCTGTGTGGTGGTGTTCATTAGCCAATCAGGTGCAGAGTCAGGGGAGCGCTGTCTATTACACTGGCAATCAGAGCGCCACCATGTGCCATTTAGGACAAAAGAATTACAGTAGCTACAGTATGTCACGCACCTACGCTAACAGAGTGGTGACATCATCATAATCAAGACACCTGGTTACACCTGGGAGCCATGACGAAGGGCAAAAAGCCCAAACCGCCTTCATCTCCATATAGCGCCGCGTGGCCACGTATTCATCCGCTCCCTCCTCAACTAGTTCCCACGTGAAATGTGTAATTTAGAGAAGAGAAAAAAAAAAAGAGCAGACCACGTTACCTGGTCCAGACACGGGCGGCTCAGGTTTGTGGGACTTCCTGGGATCCAGCCTGTCCTTCTCCAGCTGTTTTCGTGTACTGCGCTGCCGGGCCTCTCTGAACATGGGCAGAGCGTGAGCTGGAGACACAGAGGGTAAACACGAGAAAATCAGGTTTCAAACTGGAACATCATCGGATCCAGCTGCACACAACGCACGGGCCGGGAATCTGCTGAAATGTTTGCATGTGTCCATACGTGTCAGTCGTATGGATGAGGTGGAGTCTCTCCACTACTACACCTCAGAGACAACACAAACACACACACACTAACACACACACACACACACACACACACACACACACACACACAGCTGTTGTCACCTCGTCCTCTGTGTACGTCTTCTGCCGTAGTGGACACCGATATATTCAGACGACCACTTCTTCACACTCGGTGAACACTATCACAATAAAAGGCCTCCACCACTTAGAGCCCACACTGTGTGTGTACAGTGTGTGTGTATGTGTGTGTTAGCTCTGATCCTCAGTGGTGACAAAGAGAGATTTTTTTTTTAAAGGCTTTAGACAAAGTGATTTTCCGTTGGAGCCGCTCCGTCACCGTTCCATGTTAATTCTTCTTCCTCCACGCTACATTAGACAAAAAGGTTACCGCTAACAGATTCCCTCGCTTCTCACAATGGGCCGTCACTTGCTCCCTGTGCCCCTCAAATTTTCCAACGCCAGGGCAATCGACTGCTCCACGCCCTGTTGGCATGGTGACGGAATCACATGACGGAGCCGTAGCCTAAACAGTAGGTGATGTCTGAGTCTGGGTCTTGGCAGCCGCTCAGGGACGGAGACAAAGGAGGACGAGCCACGCACGGAGGAGGTGACAGCCTCGTGTGTCGGAGTGGCGGCGGGGGGGGGTGGGGGGGGGGGGGGGGCGTGCGGGCCGGAG